CCTGCCGGGACAGATCCTACAGGTCTCCGTTTCAGTATGTGGCCATCTGTTTCAGTCTACAGGTTCCTATGTGGTTCTGTGAGCCACTGTATGTTTTGTGTATGTCTCTATGCGAGTCTATGGGTCTCTGTGTGAGCCTGCGGGGGTTGGGGGGGGGGGGGTCTATCTGTGTGTCAGTCGATGGCTCTCTCTCCCTCTCTCGGCGAGCCTCTAGGTTCCCGTGTGATTCTGCAGCTCTCGATCCCTTCCCCTGCCCGCCACAATCACGCGCCAGGAATAGAATCAATGGAGTTGCTCGAGTGCCTGGGCCTGGCTTTGTGAGCCGCGTAACGCGACATTTGCCCTTGATTGGCCCGATTGTGTCGGGAAAGAGAGGATGAGCGAAAAAACGAGCGAGCGACAAAGAAAGTGGGGGTGCAGTTGAGTGCTGAAATTGCTCCAATTTTACGGGGGGGGGGGGGGGTGCAGGGGTGGGGTTGCCGCTGATCTCGCAATCAAGAGGGTTGCGTTTGGCCACCAAATGATAACTCGATCATTTTTGTTAGCAATAGGTTTTACCCTTTTAACTGGCACAAAAAAACTGACACCTTTATTCAAGGCATCATGTCCGCAATAACCACAACACAAGCAGTCAAAATGCAAACAAAAAGAGACAACTCTGATAATAATATGCACTGTCCTTGAATTTGATTGGTCCACACCCGAGACGGCTTTTCTTAGAGCCTAGTCTCCATTGGTGTTGGACCAGAAGACGCCAAAAGGCGTACAACTCAAAAACAGCACACTATCAGAGTATTGAGGGCTCGGGGTGAGCATTAACATTTTGAGACCTCCTTTGCCAGAAACAAGATATAGGAATCGGTTTTACCCTTTTAACTGGCACAAAAAACTGACACCTTTATTCAAGGCATCATGTCTGCAATAACCACAACACAAGCAGTCAAAATGCAAACAAAAAGATAACTCTGATAATAATATGCAGACATGATGCCTTGAATAAAGGTGTCAGTTTTTTTGTGCCAGATAAAAGGGTAAAACCCTATTACTATATCTTGTTACTGGCAAAGGAGGTCTCATAATGTAAATGCTCACCCCGAGCTCTCAATACTCTGATAGTGCGCTGTTTTTGAGTTGTACGCCTTTTGGCGTCTTCTGGTCCAACACCAGTGGAGACTAGGCTCTAAAGAAAGCCGTCTCGGGTGTGGACCAATCAAATTCAAGGACAGTGCATATTATTATTATCAGAGTTGTCTTTTTGTTTGCATTTTGACTGCTTGTGTTGTGGTTATTGCAGACATAATGTCTTGAATAAAGGTGTCAGTTTTTTGTGTGCCAGTTAAAAGGGTAAAACCTATTACTATATCTTGTTACTGGCAAAGGAGGTCTCATAATGTAAATCGATCATATTTCTTCTTTTCTTTTACATCGAGAACCCAACACACCGCTGGCTGGCCTCGTCTGCCGACGGCATCACCTCGGCAACATCCCAAGGTGGGGGCAAGAGGCCTTACGGATGGTCAAATTGCGTGCGGTTCGCAAATTGGCGTGAAATTGTGCAGGGACTCCTCTCATTACGAACGAGGTCTGTTCGTAAGTCGATTTGTTCGTAAGTCGATTTGTCTGTGAATCCAACTTTACTCCTGTCGATTCCAAACATGTTGTACGGCGTGTACACTAAACACGGGGAATGGCTTTACAAGTTGTATAATCTCCTGTGAACGTATTTTCCGCTTTTCATGCTTTGCAGATGTAAATGCCACTGGTTTTTCACGTTTTGCAGATGTAGATGCCACTGGTTCTTCACGTTATACAGATGTAAATGCCACTGGTTTTTCACGTTTTGCAGATGTAGATGCCACTGGTTCTTCATGTTCTGCAGATGTAGATGCCACTGGTTCTTCACGTTCTGTAGATGTAGATGCCACTGGTTCTTCATGTTCTGCAGATGTAGATGCCACTGGTTCTTCATGTTCTGCAGATGTAGATGCCACTGGTTTTTCACGTTTTGCAGATGTAGATGCCACTGGTTCTTCACGTTCTGCAGTTGTAGATGCCACTGGTTTTTCACGTTTTGCAGATGTAGTTGCCACTGGTTCTTCATGTTCTGCAGATGTAGATGCCACTGGTTCTTCACTTTCTGCAGATGTAGATTCCACTGGTTCTTCACGTTGTGCCGATGTAGATGCCACTGGTTCTTCAAGTTCTGTAGATGTAGATGACACTGGTTCTTCACGTTCTGGAGCTGTAGATGCCACTGGTTATTCACTTTCTGGAGAAGTAGATGCCTCTGGTTCTTCACGTTCTGCATATCTAGATGTCACTGGTTTTTTCACGTTTTGTAGTTACTACAGTAGTTACTACACCACTGAAAATGTAGTCACTACACCACTGATAATGTAGTCACTACACCACTGATAATGTAGTTACTACACCACTGATAATGTAGTTATTACACCACTGATAATGTAGCTACTACACCACTGATAATGTAGTTACTACACCACTGATAATGTAGCTACTACACCACTGATAATGTAGTTACTACACCACTGATAATGTAGTCACTACACCACTGATAATGTAGCTACTACACCACTGATAATGTAGTTACTACACCACTGATAATGTAGCTACTACACCACTGATAATGTAGTTACTACACCACTGATAATGTAGTTACTACACCACTGATAATGTAGTTGCTACACCACTGATAATGTAGTTACTACACCACTGATAATGTAGTTACTACGCCACTGATAATGTAGTTTACTACACCACTGATAATGTAGTTACTACGCCACTAATAATGTAGTTACTACGCCACTGATAATGTCGTTTACTACGACACTGATAATGTAGTTTACTACACCACTGATAATGTAGTCACTACACCACTGATAATGTAATTACTACGACACTGATAATGTAGTTTACTACACCACTGATAATGTAGTTTACTACACCACTGATAATGTAGTTTACTACACCACTGATAATGTAGTCACTACACCACTGATAATGTAGTCACTACGTCACTGATAATGTAGTTACTACACCACTGATAATGTAGTTACTACACCACTGATAATGTAGTCACTACACCACTGATAATGTAGTTTACTACACCACTGATAATGTAGTCACTACACCACTGATAATGTAGTCACTACACCACTGATAATGTAGTTACTACACCACTGATAATGTAGTTGCTACACCACTGATAATGTAGTTACTACACCACTGATAATGTAGTTACTACGCCACTGATAATGTAGTTTACTACACCACTGATAATGTAGTTACTACGCCACTAATAATGTAGTTACTACGCCACTGATGTCGTTTACTACGACACTGATAATGTAGTTTACTACACCACTGATAATGTAGTTACTACACCACTGATAATGTAATTACTACGACACTGATAATGTAGTTTACTACACCACTGATAATGTAGTTTACTACACCACTGATAATGTAGTTTCTACACCACTGATAATGTAGTCACTACACCACTGATAATGTAGTCACTACACCACTGATAATGTAGTCACTACACCACTGATAATGTAGTTTACTACACCACTGATAATGTAGTCACTACACCACTGATAATGTAGTTACTACACCACTGCTGCCAGTCCAACTGGCTCTCGGAGCCAAGAGCAACTGGTGGAATAGAACGCGAGATATGAGAAGCACGCACGCACACACACACGCGCAAGAAATCGAATTCCACACGAGGTTTTTTTTCGTCACTTTGCGTCGTCAATTTATTCCGCAAAAATGTTAGTAAAATTTTTTTTTATAGCATTCCCAAAAAAATGTAAAGGGGTTACGTGGCTTAATTATTTGACCTATTTAACACAGAGAGGAGGTTAAAAATGGTTTGCGTAATACAGCAATCCTGCTACGAATCTAGACACTACGCGATCCTAGTTCACTTCGTCATTAACAGCGTTCTCTCTCGTTACTCATGGGCGCCGAACCGCCCAGTGCCCCCTGCGTTAATCCCACAGCTGGTTCGCGAACACCGAGGCCGCCGCCTTTTCCACCAGCCACTTGCCGGGCCGAGCCGAGCCGTGTGTGGGTGACTCGCCGTCGGTACCCACGCGCGTCTCCGCTCGTTCACCGCGCGCGACGTCAGCGAGACAGCTCGGCTTCTGCAGTGGAAAAAAACAGCAGCAGCTGGGCGCCTCCTGAGCCATGCCGGGCTGGCTCGGCACGGCTAGATTGTGCAGTGGAAAAGAGGTAACCCTTGGTAGAAGCACATATGAGAGGTGTGATGTTTTTTGGTTTGTTTTAATTGCCCTTTTTAACACGTAGACTTTCACGACCAATTTTCATGATAAAGGTTTTCGGGTCATATCGCGTAAATATATAAGTGTGTCGTAACCCTCCACCATCCGACACAGCCAGGAAACAGGCGGATTGCTTGACTATTGTGGCAAATCGCCCGATGATCCTGGATGCAATTACCAGCGAAACGTCGTACTGCTCAAATTGTAAACGTTGTGGATTTACTCTCCAAACGCACCGGTGGGCTGAAGCGGTAACTAATTGGCACGTTTTGTTTACGTGACGAACCTTACTGACCGTATCGGGCGGCGGAGGGTTACGACACGTTCATTCTGACGCGATCTAACCCCAAAAAAAAACATTTACTATGAATTCAATGCCCTTCATTTATAGAATCCAGGATAGCCTCACCGCTTCTCAAGGGAATCTGCAGCGTTGGGACGATGCCTGAGAGGTCCCAGAGCAAACCCACCGTGCGTACGGGGGGGGGGGGGGGAGGGGGGGGGGGGACAGCAATCACGGAGGCCTCGCGGAACAAACGGTGAACCCGCTTGCCGTACCACCTACCGCTTGCCACCTCGCAACCCAGCCGGGGCATGGGAGTCTGACCACGACAACATGGCGGCGACGAAGGCGATGATTAGGGGCGACGGTTTTTTTGCGCGGCAAAAGTTTTAGTAAGCCACGGCAAAAAAAACAATTTTTTGCCGGTTGGAGGGAGAGAGAAAAGTGACGGGAAGGTGCGGCAATCGGGTAGGGTTTGCCCCCACGGAAAACCATTCGCCATTCCAACAACGACTGCGCACGATCGATGACCCTCACCCTCCAGGCATCGGTGTTTGCCGTGTGAAGGGGCTCCATTCTGGAGTTACAGGTAGTTAAATGAATATTAACTAAACTTTTCTTTTTTTTTAAATGTACCAGGTAAGGCCCCCAACGTAGCTCTTTAGCTCTTTTTCAGAAGCGACCCGGGCCACAAATGATGGCTCGACGGAGCGGCTTGTCGTCGCGCGCAAATGCACGGCGGCCGAACGCTCTGGACGCGCGGTGTCGATTCTAACAGTGGAGGGGGAGAAAACCGGAGGACCCGGTGAAAAACGCACGTGGCCACGGGGCGAACACGCAAACTCCAAATACACAGCAGCAGCAGCAGCAGACGTCAGGGTCGGGATCGAACCCACGGACTCCTGCGTACCAGGCGAGGTAGTTAACATCTCCTAGCCACCGCGGCGCCGAATGTGTTTAGAACAACGGCCGAGTGGCTTTCCGCGCCGGTTTTAGTCTCGCTGATAGACACGTATTGCATCGTTCACGCAGATCGCTAGCTGATAGTTGCCGCTGCCGATGGCTATTGCTGCTGCAAGCTGCCAGCTGCTGCTGAAGCAATAAACAGCATTGGCCCACGTCCGATCGTCGCATCGACAACTTTACATAAATCGGCCGCGTCGGGTGGAGGAGGGTGGACGACACACACAGTGGACTAGGCGCGGCGGTCTGAACCCAAAAACGAATGTTTAAAAAAATCGATTTGGGAATCGAGAATTTTGGCGCAAATCTACGGCCGCGTGATCCTAACCCACGAACGAAGATGCTTACTTGATTGGATCGAGGACAGGACGACTCCTGCGTGACCGGTTCTGGACTGGAACTGGTACTGGAACTGGTCCTGGCCAGATTACTGATGCAGCAACAGCAGAAGCAGCAAGACGAACATTTGAAGGAGGAAAAAGAAAAAACAGCCGCCCGTTTTCACGTTTTGCGCACACACCGGCTACCCCGTCCAAACTTTGGCGGCGGGCCCCCCGCGTTTGAGCTGGCACTAACCCGCGGGGGAGGTTGCACGGCGCGTCGGTGAGAATTTTCCCGGGTGGTTTTTTTTCGTCCCCCTTTTCCCTCCCTCCCCGACTGCGACGATCGGATCGACGCGGCGATCGCCCACCGACTCCACAACCTCGTCCCGCAAGCGCCGGACGGGATTCACGAGCGCTTTCGCAGGAAGAGGTAGACGACGCTGTTGACGAGGCCGAGGGAGAAGGCGACCCACGTGATGACGTAGCTGTGGCCGAAGGAGCCCCCCGCGTAGGGCGGCCCAGAGGGCCTCTGGCTTGTGTAGACGGCCGCCCCGAGGAGAACGCACAAGCCTGGCGCCGGCGGCGAGCCGAGGGAGAACACGCGCAGCAATTCAGAACCAGCAGGAGGAATCCGATGAGCTATGAAGCTCTTTTTTTCACGGATGTCCAGTATGGGGTGGGGAGGGTGGGTCAGAACGTGACAACGACAAACAAGGACGGAAAATGCGGTAGCAGTGCAATGTATTGGAAAGGTGAACAAATCACTATATTTATTTACCAGGCAAGGCCCACCGAGGTGCATAAGCTTGATTTTTTTTTTATCGGAAGCGGACCTGGCCATCGCAAACGATGAGCTCAGCGGGGTGGCTGATCGTCACGCGGACATGTACAGCAGCAGAAGACGTCGAAATAATTCGAGGCGCAAAGTCGAGATACACCGAAATGGGTCGTAGGTGTGTCACAGCGAGTATTATCACGATCGGTAATTGATTTTTTATTTTGGTGCGGGTGGGGAGGGCGGGGGGGGGGGGGCGGGGGGGGAGGGGGTCGTCGTCATCATCAGGGCCCTCCGTCACCCGACACAGCCAAACAAAATGAAATCGTCGCTCGGCCGGCAAAAGAAAGAGGCTTTCTGGACCTCCCGCACCGCCACATTCTGCCGTGAGGATCGTCGTCCGTCGACTCACCGGTCCTGGCGGAGAGCCGGGACAGGAACGACGACAGCCGGACCGGCGCGCCGTTTCTAACGTCGCCATGCGGCGTGCAAAGCGCCCCCCCGCCCCCCCCCCATTTTAGAAAAAATTTAAAACTACAACCGACGACCGCTTAAAACAGGACCTTTGCATGTACATACATTGAACTTCGTTCGCACCGTACGTTGCCAACCGTGCTAATCGGAGGTGCGGGGAGCAGGACAACAAACTATGGGTCTCTGTGTGAGTCTGTGGGTCTCTGTGTGAGTCTATGGGTCTCTGTAGTGAGTCTATGGGTCTCTGTGTGAGTCTATGGGTCTCTGTGTGAGTCTATGGGTCTCGATGTGAGTCTATGGGTCTCTGTGTGAGTCTATGGGTCTCTGTGTGAGTCTGTGGGTCTCTGTGTGAGTCTGTGGGTCTCTGTGTGAGTCTATGGGTCTCTGTGTGAGTCTATGGGTCTCTGTGTGAGTCTATGGGTCTCTGTGTGAGTCTATGGGTCTCTGTGTGAGTCTGTGGGTCTCTGTGTGAGTCTGTGGGTCTCTGTGTGAGTCTATGGGTCTCTGTGTGAGTCTATGGGTCTCTGTGTGAGTCTATGGGTCTCTGTAGTGAGTCTGTGGGGTCTCTGTGTGAGTCTATGGGTCTCTGTGTGAGTCTATGGGTCTCTGTGTGAGTCTATGGGTCTCTGTGTGAGTCTATGGGTCTCTGTGTGAGTCTGTGGGCCTCTGTGTGAGTCCATGGGTCTCTGTGTGAGTCTGTGGGTCTCTGTGTGAGTCTATGGGTCTCTGTGTGAGTCTATGGGTCTCTGTGTGAGTCTGTGGGTCTCTGTGTGAGTCTATGGGTCTCTGTGTGAGTCTGTGGGGGTCTCTGTGTGAGTCTATGGGTCTCTGTATGAGTCTATGGGTCTCTGTGTAAGTCTATGGGTCTCTGTGTGAGTCTATGGGTCTCTGTGTGAGTCTATGGGTCTCTGTGTGAGTTTGTGGGGGTCTCTGTGTGAGTCTATGGGTCTCTGTGTGAGTCTACAGGTCTCTGTGTGAGTCTATGGGTCTCTGTGTGAGTCTATGGGTCTCTGTGTGAGTCTGTGGGGTCTCTGTGTGAGTCTATGGGTCTCTGTGTGAGTCTATGGGTCTCTGTGTGAGTCTGTGGGGGTCTCCGTGTGAGTCTATGGGTTACTGTGTGAGTCTATGGGTCTCTGTGTGAGTCTATGGGTCTCTGTGTGAGTCTATGGGTCTCTGTGTGAGTCTGTGGGTCTCTGTGTGAGTCTATGGGTCTCTGTGTGAGTCTATGGGTCTCTGTGTGAGTCTGTGGGTCTCTGTGTGAGTCTATGGGTCTCTGTGTGAGTCTATGGGTCTCAGTGTGAGTCAATGGGTCTCTGTGTGAGTCTATGGGTCTCTGTGTGAGTCTATGGGTCTCTGTGTGAGTCTGTGTGTCTCTGTGTGAGTCTATGGGTCTCTGTGTGGGTCTGTGGGTCTCTGTGTGAGTCTATGGGTCTCTGTGTGAGTCTATGGGTCTCTGTGTGGGTCTGTGGGTCTCTGTGTGAGTCTATGGGTCTCTGTGTGAGTCTGTGGGTCTCTGTGTGAGCCTGTAGGGGTTTCTGTGTGGTCTATGGGTCTCTGTGTGAGTCTATGATTCTCTGTGTGAGTCTGTGGGTCTCTGTGTGAGTCTATGGGTCTCTGTGTGAGTCTATGGGTCTCTGTGTGAGTCTGTGGGGGTCTCTGTGTGAGTCTATGGGTCTCTGTGTGAGTCTGTGGGGTCTCTGTGTGAGTCTATGGGTCTCTGTGTGAGTCTATGGGTCTCTGTGTGAGTCTATAGGTCTCTGTGTGAGTCTATGGGTCTCTGTGTGAGTCTGTGGGGGTCTCTGTGTGAGTCTATGGGTCTCTGTGTGAGTCTATGGGTCTCTGTGTGAGTCTATGGGTCTTTGTGTGAGTCTATGGGTCTCTGTGTGAGTCTATAGGTCTCTGTGTGAGTCTATGGGACTCTGTGTGAGTCTGTGGGTCTCTGTGTGAGTCTATGGGTCTCTGTGTGAGTCTATGGGTCTCTGTGTGAGTCTGTGGGTCTCTGTGTGAGTCTATGGGTCTCTGTGTGAGTCTGTGGGGCCTCTGTGTGAGTCTATGGGTCTCTGTATGAGTCTATGGGTCTCTGTGTAAGTCTATGGGTCTCTGTGTGAGTCTATGGGTCTCTGTGTGAGTCTATGGGTCTCTGTGTGAGTTTGTGGGGGTCTCTGTGTGAGTCTATGGGTCTCTGTGTGAGTCTACAGGTCTCTGTGTGAGTCTATGGGTCTCTGTGTGAGTCTATGGGTCTCTGTGTGAGTCTGTGGGGTCTCTGTGTGAGTCTATGGGTCTCTGTGTGAGTCTATGGGTCTCTGTGTGAGTCTGTGGGGGTCTCCGTGTGAGTCTATGGGTCACTGTGTGAGTCTATGGGTCTCTGTGTGAGTCTATGGGTCTCTGTGTGAGTCTATGGGTCTCTGTGTGAGTCTGTGGGTCTCTGTGTGAGTCTATGGGTCTCTGTGTGAGTCTATGGGTCTCTGTGTGAGTCTATGGGTCTCTGTGTGAGTCTATGGGTCTCTGTGTGAGTCTATGGGTCTCTGTGTGAGTCTATGGGTCTCTGTGTGAGTCTGTGGGTCTCTGTGTGAGTCTATCGGTCTCTGTGTGAGTCTATGGGTCTCTCTGTGTGAGTCTGTGGGTGTCTGTGTGAGTCTGTGGGTCTCTGTGTGAGTCTATGGGTCTCTGTGTGAGTCTGTGGGTCTCTGTGTACGTGGTAATTATCGGAGGTGCGGGGGGAAGGACAACAACACTAAACACAAGAAGCAGTGTCGCTGTGGAGTGGTGGCCGGAGGTCACGTGGCAACATTTAACATTTCACCGACTGCCCCCGTTGTACGGTTGCCGGGCTCAAGAACCACCACCCCCCCCCCCCCCCCATCAATATGCTGAGTGGCTTGCGGAATCATTAGCCCACATGCGCGGGAGAGAGCGCGAGAGAGCGAGAGAGCGAGAGAGAGAGACACTCACTGGCCAGGATGTGGAAGATGCCCGTGATGACGAAGCGGCCTCCCTTCTTGAGTTGGTACAGCTGGTAGATGAAGAGGAAGAGCGACACGCAGGAGAAGACCACCGACAGGACCATGAGACCCTGCACTGCCTGGAGCCACTCGCCTGCACCCCGCCCGTCAAACACAAGGACAAAGATCCCCCGTGTAGCCTCCGATAGACCGTTGGGGCAAGTGCTGTTGGCGAGCGCCACCTATGAAGGCCGGCACGGCACACACGAGGGGTTGGAGCGGCCAGCACCACGCACGGCCGCCTTTGTCTCCCCAGTGGCGATGTTCACACACCGCGCCGGGTGCTCATTTGAGGCCGAGTCGACCTAGGGGAGGACCATGGCCGGTTCAGGTCATCGTCACCGGTGTTGGCCGCGAGCGGCGATCGAAATCGGGTGGCCTCTGGTTGTCAGCCACCTCTGGTCTGTCCGTTGACGGCTCCGCCCACTGGTCGGGTAGCTCCGCCCACCGCTCGGGTAGCTCCGCCCACCGCTCGGGTAGCACCGCCGACCTAACGGGTAGCACCGCCCACCGCACGGGTAGCTCCGCCCACCGCTCGGGTAGCACCGCCCACCGCTCGGGTAGCACCGCCCACCGCTCGGGTAGCACCGCCCACCGCTCGGGTAGCACCGCCCAACGCTCGGGTAGCACCGCCCACCGCTCAGGTAGCTCCGCCCACCTAATGGGTAGCACCGCCCACCGCTTGGGTAGCACCGCCCACCTAACGTGTAGCACCGCCCATCTAACGGGTAGCTCCGCCCACCGCTCGGGTCGCGATCAGACGTAGAGCAAGACTGGCACGGCCCGGTTTTATTCATTCGGGTTTTAATCGTTTTTTTTTTATATAAAACCGGAGCACCTGGATCCTGCCCTAATCCGGTTTTATTCGCTTTTATTAAAGTTAAGTCGGGATTTCAGTCGCATGCACCGCATTAGCGGCGGGCTCAGCCGCCGTGCGCGTGAGAGTCACGATGCACTGCAGCATGGCCACGTCGACCGCCGCCGCTGCGTCTGAGCGAAACTTCTCGACGATGGGATTCATCCATTCCGAGTTGAGGAGCGGCCTGGCGCCCCAACGCAGTCGAGAAGCTCGCCTTCGCCGAGTCGAACCTCAACGCGTTCCACGACCACCCGACGGCCGACGACGGCGACGACAACGCCGAGCCCGAGCGGCGAGAGCGACGACGAAGACGACGCGGCGGCGGACGACGACGATGACGAGGAGGAGCAGGATTGAAGTGTGCACGGGACGCCGATAATAAAAGCGGGTTTTATTATCGGCAAAAAATCAGGTTTAACTCCGTTAAAACCAATAACCCGATTTGTCGGGCGACAAAAGATCGGGTTTTTCCCACCCCCTGGCGTAGCGGCGCTGCGGAGCGGCCGGTTCTGACCTTGGGACTCGAACGGCGCGATGCAGATCCACGAGCCGCTGTCCAGGAGGTTGCACTGCTGCCACAGGTCCGTGACCACGTTGCCCGAAGTCACCCACGACTGCCGGAGGGTGGGGTGGGGGGGGGGCAAACGCACAACAGTCGTCACGCGCAGTTTGACACTACAGGAATTCTCCTCTACTTGCGAACTTTCAGAGATACGAACAAACCTGTCCCTATGTCCAGCAGCCTGTTCGGGCCGAGAGTCGTAAGCTAAACTGTTGTGCAATAGATGGCGGTGGTGGCATCTACATCTGCAGAACGTGAAGAACCAGTGGCGTCTACACCTACAGAACGTGAAGAACCAGTGGCATCTACATCTGCAGAACATGAGAACCAGTGGCGTCTACATCTACAGAACATGAAGAACCAGTGGCATCTACATCTGCAGAACGTGAAGAACCAGTGGCATCTGCATCTGCAGAATGTGAAGAACCAGTGGCATCTACATCTTCAGAACGTGAAGAACCAGTGGCATCTGCAGAACGTGAAGAACTCGTGGCATCTACATCTGCAGAACGTGAAGAACCAGTGGTATATGCATCTGTAGAACGTGAAGAACCAGTGGCATCTCCATCTGTAGAACGTGAAGAACCAGTGGCATCTACATCTGCAGAACGTGAAGAACCAGTGACATCTACATCTGCAGCACGTGAAGAACCAGTAGCATCTATATCTGCAGAACGTGAAGAATCAGTGGCATCTACATCTGCAGCACGTGAAGAACCAGTAGCATCTATATCTGCAGAACGTGAAGAACTCGTGGCATCTACATCTGCAGAACGTGAACAACCAGTGGCATCTGCATCTGCAGATCGTGAAGAACCAGTGGTATATGCATCTGTAGAACGTGAAGAACCAGTGGCATCTCCATCTGTAGAACGTGAAGAACCAGTGGCATCTACATCTGCAGAACGTGAAGAACCAGTGGCATCTACATCTCCAGAACGTAAAGAACCAGTGGCATCTACATCTGCAGATCGTGAAGAACCAGTGGCATCTACATCGGCGCAACGTGAAGAACCAGTGGCATCTATATCTCCAGAACGTGAAAAACTAGTGGCATCTACATCTGCAGAACGTGAAGAACCAGTGGCATCTACATCTGCAGAACGTGAAGAACCAGTGGCATCTACATCTCCAGAACGTAAAGAACCAGTGGCATCTACATCTCCAGAACGTGAAGAACCAGTGGCATCTACATCTGCAGAACGTGAAGAACTCGTGGCATCTACATCTGCAGAACATGAAGAACCAGTGGTATATGCATCTCTAGAACGTGAAGAACCAGTGGCATCTCCATCTGTAGAACGTGAAGAACCAGTGGCATCTATATCTGCAGAACGTGAAGAACCAGTGACATCTACATCTGCAGCACGTGAAGAACCAGTAGAATCTATATCTGCAGAACGTGAAGAATCAGTGGCATCTACATCTTCAGAACGTGAAGAACCAGTGGCATCTACATCTGCAGAACGTGAAGAACTCGTGGCATCTACATCTGCAGAACGTGAAGAACCAGTGGTATATGCATCTGTAGAACGTGAAGAACCAGTGGCATCTCCATCTGTAGAACGTGAAGAACCAGTGGCATCTACATCTGCAGAACGTGAAGAACCAGTGACATCTACATCTGCAGCACGTGAAGAACCAGTAGCATCTATATCTGCAGAACGTGAAGAATCAGTGGCATCTACATCTGCAGAACGCGAAGAACCAGTGGCATCTACATCTGCAGCACGTGAAGAACCAGTAGCATCTATATCTGCAGAACGTGAAGAACTCGTGGCATCTACATCTGCAGAACGTGAACAACCAGTGGCATCTGCATCTGCAGATCGTGAAGAACCAGTGGTATATGCATCTGTAGAACGTGAAGAACCAGTGGCATCTCCATCTGCAGAACGTGAAGAACCAGTGGCATCTACATCTCCAGAACGTAAAGAACCAGTGGCATCTACATCTGCAGATCGTGAAGAACCAGTGGCATCTACATCTGCAGAACGTGAAGAACCAGTGGCTTCTACATCTGCAGGAAATTATACAACTTATACAACTTTTTTAGTTACTTGTTCAGCACTAACCGGTGTGTTGGAGAGTAAACACACAAACATTTACAAAGCAATCACCCGTCCTCAGCTGTACGTGTGTATGTATGTCGAACTTGTTTCACACCATACGTAGCCAACTGCGCTAATTGTCGCGATCATCGTCAGCGGCAGCTGCGTAATCATCAACTAGAACTATTTTTAGTCGTATGTCCCAGCGTTATTAGCATCGACATAGTCATCATCAGCGTCACCAACAGAATCACCGTCATCTACAGCATTATCTTCGTCAGCCAATTTTATCATCATCACCATCACCAAGAGCGTCATCGTCATCAGCAGACTCGTCATCGTCACCATTGTCTCCATCTTCATCACAATCATCTGTGCCATTGCCGCTATTTTCAGTATCATCCACACTAACAGCACCACCATCATCGCCGCCGCCGCCACCATCATCATCAACAGCATCATCCCAATTACCATCCGAATTATCATCATCATCATCATCCAAACTATCATCATCATCAGCAGCAGCAGGAGCTTCGTCGTCGTCACCGTCGCCAGCAACAACACCACCGTCAACAGCATCACCCTAATTATCATCAGAATCATCATCATCCAAACTATCATCAGCAGCAGCAGCAGGAGCTTCGTCGTCGTCACCGTCGCCAGCAGCAACACCACCGTCAACAGCATCACCCTAATTATCATCAGAATCATCATCATCATCATCCAAACTATCATCATCATCAGCAGCATCGTCGTCAACAGCTCGGTGGCCCTTGCGCCACAGTCAACCGCCGTGGTGGAGCCGCGACCGACAGGCCCCCCCCCCCCCCCCCCCCCCGGGGCACCGCGAGTCGGGGCGACTGCCCCAGGCCTCGACGTTTCGACGAGGTAACGATGTTTGAAGGCGTCGTGGGGGGGGGGGGGGGCGCGGGGGGGGTGCTCCCACACCCCCCCCCCCACCACCCCCCCCCCATGGACTACGGCCGGCCCGAGGAGGAGAAAGTTGGAGCGCACTCACGCTGTCAATGGTGGCCACGAAGAGCAGCACGATGGTGGAGACGTGCAGGATGAAGATGGAGAGGAGTAGCAGGAACATGTCGCCGATCTGCTCGTGTTCGCACCCCTAAACCTCCGGTCGCGGGCGGCCACACCAAGGGGCGTGATGCAACCCTGCAAGGGGCGGCGGTGGAGGCGGTGGAGGCGGTGGAGGCGGTGGAGGCAGTGGAGGCGGTGGAGGCGGTGGTGGAGGTGGTGGAGGTGGAGGCGGTGGAGGCGGTGGTGGTGGAGGTGGAGGCGGTGGAGGTGGTGGCGGGACACACAAAGGTCAACGATCCGGCCTGTTGGGGCAAGCGCCGTCAGCGAGTCAATTTAGTCAGGGGCTTGTCACGTCAGACAAACACGTGCCCATTAGTTACGACTTCAGCACACACCGGCCGTGTGTTGGAGAGTAAAACCCACAACGTTGAAATGTACCACGAAAATGACTCTTTGTCTACGTGTTAAACTGAGCGGGGTGTGTGTGTGTGCGTGCGTGCGCGTGTTATCTAATCTCGCGTGGAGTGTGCCATGAACCTTGTGGCATGAAACACATTTATTCTTGATTTGAAGCTTTTCGTGACTGCAGGAATCCGTGCTCTTTGGTCCTTTCGGTAAAAAAAAGCCACGTGGGTAGCAAGAATAATTACAGATCGCGACGTTTCCATCGCCTACGCGAGCGTTCCCTTCTCACCCAAAAAACACAAGCATTGTGGGTGAAGCTCATCCCAATTGGTTGGTGCCGGACATTCCACATTATTATGACGGGGACCGGCGGGGAGGAAGGAGGTGTGGCAGCATCTATAAAGAACGATCAGCTGGTTTGCTCAGTGTTACCAACCCTCGGGGGGGGGATCGAACTCAGGTGAAGAGGTTAATGGCCCAGTGCCGCTAACTGCTGCGCCACCACTCCACACATGTATTTGTCTCTACTGTCTAAACACACAATAAATTATTACAACTTTTTTTTATTTTACCAGGTAAGGCCCCCAACTGAGCTAACGAGCTCTCTTACAGACGCGACCTGGCCACAAATGATAGCTCAACGAAGTGACTCATCGTGTGGCAATTTATAGCAGCCAAAATACTCTAAACACATGTTTCTAAATGCGGAGGAAAAACTGGAGGACCTGGGTCAAAATCCACGTGACCACGGGTAGAGAGAGGAAATGCAAACTCCAAATATACATGAGGCGTCAGGGTCAGGATTGAACCTATGGCCTCCTGAGTACCAGGCAAGGTAGTTAACATCTCACCACCGTGATGTTGATGAGAGAGAGACACGCAAACTCCAAATATACAGCAGCAGGCGTCAGGGTCGGGATCGAACTCACGACCTCCTGTACACCAGGCGAGGTAGTTAACATCTCCTAGCCACCGTGATGATGATGAGAGAGAGAGAGACACGCAAACTCCAAATATACAGCAGCAGCAGGCGTCAGGGTCGGGATTGAACCCACGACCTCCTGTGTACCAGGCGAGGTAGTTAACATCTCCTAGCCACCGTGGCGGGGGGAGGGGGAGGGGGCGGGGGCTACGCCTGCCATTTGTTGTTGTTGTTGTTGTTCGTCTTCTTTCTAAACATTTCACATCACGGTACTGACGGCGGTGGTGCCTGGCGGCTGCTGTTGCCGTGTCGTCGTTCGGGAAGCCTCATCGGCGTCCTTCATTTGGCACCGTTTGACGACAACAGCAAACACAACGGTGGGGGGGTGGGGGGTGGGGGGGTGGGGGGGGTGGGGGGGGAGTTGGCGACTAAACAAAATTTAAAAAACAAAAACGCTGACCCGCACGAAAAATAAAAATAAAACATTTTGTGGAAGGGGGCGAGGAGGGGAATTTCCCTCCGAAGTGAGGGGGACGCCGTTTTAATCCGTGTGGCGCGTGCCAAGAGGCCTGTTGTCGGTGGGGATCAGCGCGGCAACCCGGTCAGGCGCTCCTAACGCCACCAAAAAAAATAAAATGCCCCATCTCGCACCGCAGCGGCGTTGTAAAACGACATCGTCAGCTCCGGCGACCGGGGGTGGGGGAGATGGTGGGGGGGGGGGGGGTGCGGCAAATCGGTGAGATAGGGGGGGCAGGGGGACCCCCAGTATTTGCTTGATTTGTCTCGCATGATTGCCCAAACGTTGACCGCTGCTCTCCCCGAATAAAGGAAAGAAGTGAAAACGTGGGACGTAAATTGAAGCATTTTTGGTCCAAATTTTTTTTTTTAAATAATCATTTGAAACCGCGTTTTAAATTAAGCGTTTCTTGTTCTTCGACACTGTTGTTGAAAACAAATCTCATGGCGATTGTCAATTGGTAATCCCCCCAACTCGTCGCTTTGGCCACAAGAGGATGGGGGGCGGGGGGCCAAGGCAACCCCCTGCGTGCCCCCCTCCACGCTCCTCACGCCACTGCCTTGCCGGTTCATGCTCACCACGCCCCGCGCTCACCGCGTTATCGGGCCAAGCAGCTTCCCACGCGCCGACTCTTGCCCCAGCGGCGGTTTGGTACCGCTGTGCCCCCCTTTGCCTCCTGGGCTTCGCGGAAATCGTGGGAGGCTTAGCCGGGATCAACGTCGGGACGCGGATGCCGACGTTGGCGCGGCGTTCGGCGCGGTGTTGGCCCAACGTTGGCCCAACGTCGGGCCAACGTTGGCCCGACGTTGGCCCGACGTTCGGCGCGACGTCGCGCACTGGGGTCAGCCGGAGGGCGAGCGGCTCGCAAATCCTCGGCGCGTGGCGGGTTGGACTCGTCAGCCCATCATTCCTCCCCTCCGGGGTGGATAAACGCAAGTACCGCTTTGTGCGGGAGGTCGAGTGACCGACGCGCGTTCGCGGACACCGCCGCCGCCGATGGCGTTGTCCGGGACGACGCCCGACGTTTCGCCGCACGTGCCTATGCCAGTTCAGTTGGTTCCACATGCTCGATCCGAGAACGCGTCGGAGAGCTGTACGTCGCCGGACGGGCGACGGCAAAAACACGCCTGCCATGAGTTAAATGATGACGTCACCCTGCTGCTGCTCTGTTTAAGACGAGGAGCAAGTCAGGGCTTTACCATTCTGGCGAATTGCCCGATGATGCTGGATGTAATTACCAGCGAAACGTCGTACTCAAACTGTAAATGTTGTGGATTCACTCTTCAACACACCGGTGGGCTAAAGTAGTGAACTATTTCGTCTTTTGTCAACGTGACACTTTTTTTTTGCTGATTGGCTGTGTCGGGTGGTGGAAGGGTTACGACACATTTATAAATAACGCGATCTAACCCAAAAACCTTTATTATGAATATTATGAAAAACACGCCTGCCATGAGTTAAATGATGACGTCACCCTGCTGCTGCTCTATTTAAGACCGGGAGCAAGCGAGGGCTTCACCATTCTGGCGAATTGCCCGATGATGCTGGATGTAATTACCAGCGAAACGTCGTACTACTCAAACTGTAAATGTTGTGGATTCACTCTTCAACACACCGGTGGGCTAAAGTAGTTAACTATTTCGTCTTTTGGCAACGTGACACTTTTTTTTTTGCTGATTGGCCGTGTCGGGTGGTGGAGGGTAACGACACATTTATAAATAACGCGATCTAACCCAAAAACCTTTATTATGAATATTATGAAAAACACGCCTGCCATGAGTTAAATGATGACGTCACCCTGCTGCTCTATATAAAACCGGGAGCAAGCGAGGGCTTCACCATTCTGGCGAATTGCCCGATGATGCTGGATGTAATTACCAGCGAAACGTCGTACTACTCAAACTGTAAATGTTGTGGATTCACTCTTCAACACACCGGTGGGCTAAAGTAGTTAACTATTTCGTCTTTTGGCAACGTGACACTTTTTTTTTGCTGATTGGCCGTGTCGGGTGGTGGAGGGTAACGACACATTTATAAATAACGCGATCTAACCCAAAAACCTTTATTATGAATATTATGAAAAACACGCCTGCCATGAGTTAAATGATGACGTCACCCTGCTGCTCTATATAAAACCGGGAGCAAGCGAGGGCTTCACCATTCTGGCGAATTGCCCGATGATGCTGGATGTAATTACCAGCGAAACGTCACAGTACTACTCAAACTGTAAATGTTGTGGATTCACTCTTCAACACACCGGTGGGCTAAAGTAGTGAACTATTTCGTCTTTTGTCAACGTGACACTTTTTTTTGTTTGCTGATTGGCCGTGTCGGGTGGTGGAGGGGTTACGACACATTTATAAATAACGCGATCTAACCCAAAAACCTTTATTATGAACATTATGAAAAACACGTCGCCACCACCGTGCCCATCCACGCGGCATCCGCGTCCCCCGGCGCTTCTCAACCTGCCAAGATGTGACGAGACCGACAGCAGGAGTACGCGTGGGTAGGCGCGAGGTGGTTATTTAGGCCCAGGCCTGAAAACTGCCCCCCGTGCCCGTGTCGCCTACTGGCAGAAGGGCCTCGAGAGGGCAATTGGGTCCCCGCTCACCCACGCACGCTGGCCACGTGTTTCCGTGAGTGTCCGGAGCAGCGACATTTTACCACGAAAAGCTATTTATTTTATTTTACCGGGTAAGGCCCCCACTGGGATATACAGGTCGTTTACAGAAGCGTCCCTGGCCATCACAAATGATAGCTCAACGAAGTGGCGGCTTCTCATCGTCATCGTCCGCGCGTGGAAATGCATAGCAGCCAAATTGCTCTAAACGCGTGGTGACGTTGATTAAAAAAAATGTGGAAGGTGAAAACCGGAGGACCCGGAGAAAAAAGCCACACGACCACGGGGAGAGAGAGACACGCAAACTCCAAATATACAGCAGCAGCAGGAGTCAGGGTCGGGATCGAACCCACGACCTCCTGCACACCAGGCGAGGTAGTTAACATCTTCTAGCCACCGTGATGATGATGAGAGAGACGCGCAAACTCAAAATATACAGCAGCAGCAGGAGACAGGGTCAGGATCGAACCCACGACCTCCTGCGTATCAGGCGAGGTAGTTAACATCTCCTAGCCACCGTGATGATGATGATGAGAGAGAGACACGTAGACTCCAAATATACAGTAGCAGCAGGAGTCAGGGTCGGGATCGAACCCACGACCTCCTGCGTACCAGGCGAGGTAGTCAACATCCCGACACTTTACCTCGCCACAGGCCACCTGCCTGCCAATCGACTTAACTGGTGGTTGAACCCAGAATGCTAAAAGGCGAACAGCACAAGGACAATGCACTATCAGAGCATTTAGAGCTTGGGTTGAGCAAGCTTATAACGACCTCCCGTTATTCTGGGTAAGTCCCCGTTAAGTTTTTATTTATTTATCTCCCATCACTTTTAAATGCTGTACTGGGAAAAAAAAAGTTCCCCAAACGAGAATGTTCGATGACCTCATTCATCATCACCACCGCTGCTGCGCTGGTGATGAATGAGAGAGTTCGTATGTGGACGGACAACCTGATCGCCAGCACCTGCCCAGGTCAAAAGAGAAAAAATAAGTAATATTGAAAAAAAAATGTTTGTAATAACACGCTTTAATGAAATGTACCGCGCTAGTAATGGAAGAACTCCACGACTCCAGGAAGTGGCCCCGAAACTTGCCACAACGTAAGGGGGCCCGTGGTGATTTACAGCCAACGTGAGTTGAGCGTGGACAATTAGACCCAAACGTAACATATAAAAAAAAACAACGTTCTCAAATATATGATTTTAATTTTTTTTATGATAGAAAATAGTATTGTCATCAATATGACATAAGTATACCAAGTTTGCAGTCGATAGCACATTGGGAAGTTGGTTAAAATTTAGTTACAAGATTTGAGGATACATCAACAACGACAACAACAACAGCGTGTAAAAAAACACCACTTTGCCAGCCCCCGCGGCTTTGAAAATTGTGTACAAAGGCAATGACAAAGCTCCCCCGTATAGCCTTCGACGGGCTGTCGGGGCAAGGAGTGCTGTCAGCGAGTGGCGGGCACGACCCACGTCCTCCCCCCCCCCCCCCCCCTTTGTCTCTCCAAAGTTTCGATGTCGCCCCACAACGAACTGCGTGACAAGTACCGCACTCGTTCCGGCACCCGTTAGTTCCAGGGCCCATCGACGCTATCAGCAGGCGAGCCGGACTCGTCAGAGCAGGCGGGGGGGGGGATGGGGATGGCTTGAAGAGACAACGGTGGGTTTGCCTCCGTACGGTGCGAAAGAAGTTCAGCGGACACAACACTCATGAGTACAACCGCAGCGGGCGCCGCGCTCATATTGAGGCTGAGCCGAACTAGGGGCTGTTGGCTAGCACGACATTCGCCGCTGGCACTTGCCCGTGAGCCGGGCCAACCCGCGCGACGCTCCGCTCCGCCGGGGTTCACGGCGCGGCGCGGATGACCGCTCGCCGCCGCCGCCGCCGCCGCTGCGCCACCGGTCCCCGTGCTAAGGCCGGAGGGCGGCGGTCCGGTGGACCGGTGGTCCGGTGGACCGGCGGACCGGTGGTCCGGTGGACCGGCGGTCCGGTGGTCCGGTGGTCCGGCGGTCCGGTGGTCCGGTGCCCGTCGGGGTTTGTCGGAGCGGCGATGGCCCCGTCTTTTTTTTATTCCAAAAGAAACCACCGCGAGCGGTGCTGTAACTCGGCGAGGCTTGCAGGGTGCTGGACACAACCCCCTTGCTACGCCCTACCAGGGGTAGACCCCCCCTAGGGTGCTGGACACAACCCCCTTGCTACGCCCTACCAGGGGTAGACCCCTCCTAGGGTGCTGGACACAACCCCCTTGCTATGCCCTACCAGGGGTAGACCCCCCCTAGGGTGCTAGACAACCCCCTTGCTACACCCAACCAGGGGTAGACCCCCCCTAGGGTGCTGGACACAACCCCCTTGCTACGCCCTACCAGGGGTAGACCCCTCCTAGGGTGCTGGACACAACCCCCTTGCTATGCCCTACCAGGGGTAGACCCCCCCTAGGGTGCTAGACAACCCCCTTGCTACACCCTACCAGGGGTAGACCCCCCCCTAGGGTGCTAGACACCCCCCCCCTCGCCCCGCCCCCCACAACCCGTACCCCCCCTCCCAAAATTGCGCCACGGTGGCTAGGAGATGTTAACTACCTCGCCTGGTATACAGGAGGTCGTGGGTTCGATCCCGACCCTGACACCAGCTGTATATTTGGAGTTTGCGTGTCTCTCTCATCGTCATCACGGTGGCTATGAGATGTTAACTACCTCGCCAGGTGTACAGGAGGTCGTGGGTTCGATCCCGCCCCCCTGACGCCTGCTGCTGTGTATGTGAAGTATGCGCGTCTCTCTCTCTGCCAGCGTGGATTTTTCTCGTGCCCCCCCCCCAACGCCAAACATTTAGAGTCGGCGTCACGTATTTGCGGTGCGCGTTTGGCTCGCTGCGATAACTTTCCACACACGACGACAACGATAAGCCCAAGATGAGCTTTCTAATTTAGTGACGAAAAAAAAGTGACCCCGAAGCTCATTGGGGGGCCTTTAACCTGGTAAAATAAATTGTGAAAAGCTGAAACAGTTTTTTTTTGTTTCAATAGTTTAACTCTCTTGATTCAAAACACATGGCTACTGAAGCTGGAATGTCCGAGGCACCGTTTCAAACCAAATAATAAAAAAAACACAATCCACGAACCGCACCGAGCTAACCACCATCAACAACAGCAACACCACCACCAACAACAACACCACCAACAACAACACCACCAACAACACCATCAACAACAGCAACACCACCACCAACAACAACACCACCAACAACAACAGCAACACCAACAACAACACCACCAACAACAGCAACAACAACAACACCAACAACACCACGACCAACACCACCACCAACAACATCAACAACATCAACAACACCACCAACAACACCAACAACAACAACACCAACAACAACAAACAGCGCCTCCTTGTTGCTAAAAGCCAGTGAAGCAACAGCAGCATCGGAGGGTGGGGGAAAGACACAGACAGACAGACAGACACAGACAGACACACAGACAGAGACAGACACAGAGACAGACACAGAGACAGACAGACACAGAGACAGACAGACACAGACAGACACACAGACAGACACAGACAGACACACAGACACAGACAGACACACAGACAAAGACAGACACAGAGACAGACACAGAGACAGACAGACACAGACAGACACACAGACAGAGACAGACACAGAGACAGACAGACACAGAGACAGACAGACAGACAGACACAGACAGACACACAGACAGACACAGAGACAGACAGACACAGACAGGGACACAGAGACAGAGACAGACAGGGACAGACACAGAGACAGACAGACACAGACAGAGGGACAGACACAGACAGACACACAGACAGAGACAGACACAGAGACACAGAGACAGACACACAGAGACAGACACAGACAGACACAGACATACACAGAGACAGAGACAGACACACAGACACAGACAGACAGAGACAGACACAGACACACAGACAGACACAGACAGACACAGAGACAGACACAGACAGACACACAGACAGATACAGACACAGAGACAGACAGACACAGACAGACACAGACAGACAGACAGGGACACAGAGACAGACAGACAGGGACACAGAGACAGACAGACAGGGACAGACACAGACAGACAGACAGACACAGAGACAGACAGACACAGACAGGGACACAGAGACAGAGACAGACAGAGACAGACACACAGACAGACACAGACAGACACACAGACAGACACAGACAGGGACAGACAGACAGAGAGACATTTCAAGCGATACCACATTCCGTGCAAACACCACCAACCAACCGCCGAGCAACAACAACAACAAACAACAACAAACAACAACCAACAACAAACAGAATCACGTGGAGTCTCCCGCCTCCAACTCCCACCTCCACCCACCTACTTGCTGCACGCGGAGGGGAGTTGGTGCTGGGAGTTGTTTTGTGCTTCTCGATTGAGCCCCCCTCTCTCTCTCTCTGTGTCTCTCTCTGTGTCTCTCTGTCTCTCTCTGTGTGTGTCTCTCTCTCTCTGTGTCTCTCTCTGTGTCTGTGTCTCTCTGTGTCTCTCGCTCCCTCTCTGTGTCTGTGTCTCTCTCTGTGTGTCTCTCTCTGTGTCTCTCTCTGTGTTTCTCTCTGTGTCTCTCTCTGTGTTTCTCTCTGTGTCTCTCTCTGTGTCTCTCTCTGTGTCTCTCTGTGTGTGTCTCTCTCTGTGTCTCTCTCTCTCTCTCTCTGTGTCTCTCTCTCTGTGTCTCTCTGTCTCTCTCTCTCTCTGTCTCTCTCTGTGTCTGTGTCTCTCTGTGTCTCTCGCTCTCTCTGTCTGTGTCTCTCTGTGTCTCTCGCTCTGTCTCTCTCTTTGTCTGTCTCTGTCTCTCTCTCTGTGTCTCTCTGTCTCTCTCTCTCTGTCTCTCTCTGTGTCTGTGTCTCTCTGTGTCTCTCGCTCTCTCTCTGTGGCTGTGTCTCTCTGTGTCTCTCTCTGTCTCTCTCTGTGTCTGTGTCTCTCTCTGTCTCTCTCTGTGTCTCTCTCTCTGTGTGTCTCTCTGTCTCTCTCTCTCTGTCTCTCGCTCTGTCTCTCTCTCTGTCGCCTCGGTGGGCCGAGAGACGTCGCTCCTCCCAGAATCTCTCTCTCTCTCTGTGTCTCTCTCTGTGTGTCTCTCTGTCTCTCTCTCTCTGTCTCTCTCTCTCCCCGTTCCGTTGCGTGAGTCGCTCCTTTCGTCGTCGTGTGAAGGAGGGGGAGGCTGCGTTGCCACGTGTGGGGGGGGGGGGGTGGGGAGCCGGTGTGGGGGAGCTTCGCTTTGCTTTGGCGCTAACCGGAGGGAGGAGGAAGAGGAGAGAGAAGGGAGGGGAGAGATGGGAGAGAGAGAGAGCGAGAGAGGAGGGAGGGGAGAGAGAGGAGGGAGAGAGACTTTTTTTTACTTTTAAACAATTTTTATTGCCGCCAGCAGCAACAGCACTGGAAGCGATTCCGATACGAAATACACAAAGTCACCAGCAACACAAATACACAAAGTCACCAGCAACACAAACACACAAAGTCACCAGCAACACAAATGAAAATTAACGCTACAAATCCACGCGCTGTGGCGCTAAATGCACCGCGCACAACACGAAATAAAAGCCACGTGGTGGTTGTGGTGGTGGTGGTTGTGGTGGTGGTGGTGGAGGTGGTTGTGGTGGTGGTTGTGGTGGTGGTGGAGGTGGTTGTGGTGGTGGTTGTGGTGGTGGTTGTGGTTGTGGTGGTGGTGGTTGTGGTGGTGGTTGTGGTGGTGGTTGTGGTGGTGGTGGTTGTGGTGGTGGTGGTTGTGGTGGTGGTGGTTGTGGTGGTGGTGGTTGTGGTGGTGGTTGTGGTTGTGGTGGTGGTGGTTGTGGTGGTGGTGGTTGTGGTGGTGGTTGTGGTGGTGGTGGTGGTGGTTGTGGTGGTGGTGGTTATCGCGACACGCCACGGTGACACGAGCGAGCGCTTCAGAAGGTGAACACGATGAGTGCCGTCCACGCTGGTACAGAGAGGGGCTTGTCCGGCTCCCCAGCGTTCGAAGAAGACGCGCTGCACATCACCGACACGTGTGTGTGGTACGTGGCGTGCTCCAGCCGGAGCCGCGCCTTGAGCAGGCCCCTGAACACTGGAAGCAGCACAGAGCAGCCGTCAGTGCCACCTTGCAGCATCGCTTTATTTCTCGTTCTGTACACCGCCAACTTCGCCTGAGCACAGGCGAAGTTGGCGAGGTCATGGCGCTTGTTAGCCAGGTAAGGCACCACCCCCATGAGAGGGGGGAGAGAGAGGGGGGAGATGGGAGAGAGAGAGAGGGGGTAGAGAGAGAGGGTAGAGAGAGAGGGGGGTAGAGAGAGAGGGGGGGTAGAGAGAGGGGGTAGAGAGAGAGGGGGTAGAGAGAGAGGGGGGGTAGAGAGAGGGGGTAGAGAGAGAGGGGATAGAGAGAGGGGGTAGAGAGAGAGGGGGGTAGAGAGAGGGGGTAGAGAGAGAGAGGGGGGGTAGAGAGAGAGGGGGGGTAGAGAGAGAGGGGGTAGAGAGAGAGGGGGGGGTAGAGAGAGGAGGGGGGGGGTAGAGAGAGAGGGGGGTAGAGAGAGGGGGTAGAGAGAGAGGGGGTAGAGAGAGAGGGGGGGTAGAGAGAGAGGGGGTAGTGAGAGGGGGGGTAGAGAGTGAGGGGGGTAGAGAGGGGGGGTAGAGAGAGGGGGGGGGGTAGTAGAGAGAGGGGGTAGAGAGAGAGGGGGTAGAGAGAGAGGGGGTAGAGAGAGGGGGTAGAGAGAGAGGGGGTAGAGAGAGAGGGGGGTAGAGAGAGAGAGGGGGTAGAGAGAGAGGGGGGTAGAGAGAGGGGGTAGAGAGAGAGGGGGTTAGAGAGAGGGGGTAGAGAGAGAGGGGGGTAGAGAGAGGGGGTAGAGAGAGAGGGGGGTAGAGAGAGGGGGTAGAGAGAGAGAGGGGGGTAGAGAGAGGGGGGTAGAGAGAGAGGGGGGTAGAGAGAGGGGGTAGAGAGAGGGGGGGGGTGGTAGAGAGAGGTGGGGTTAGAGAGAGAGGGGGGTAGAGAGAGGGGGTAGAGAGAGAGGGGGGGGGTAGAGAGAGAGGGGGTAGAGAGAGAGGGGTGGTAGAGAGGGGGGGTAGAGAGAGGGGGGGTAGAGAGAGGGGGGGTAGAGAGAGGGGGTAGAGAGAGGGGGGGTAGAGAGAGGGGGGGGGGTAGAGAGAGGGGGGTAGAGAGAGGGGGGGGTAGAGAGAGAGGGGGGTAGAGAGAGGGGGTAGAGAGAGAGGGGGTAGAGAGAGAGGGGGTAGAGAGAGAGGGGTGGTAGAGAGGGGGGGTAGAGAGAGAGGGGGGGTAGAGAGAGGGGGTAGAGAGAGGGGGGGTAGAGAGAGGGGGGTAGAGAGATAGAGAGAGGGGGGGTAGAGAGAGGGGTAGAGAGAGAGGGGGGGGTAGAGAGAGGGGGGGTGGGGTTTAGAGAGAGGGAATGGGTAAGGAGAGCAGAGCGTGAAATCTTTCATTTAAAAAAGGGGGGGTTACAGAAAGCAAAGCATTAAAAAAACGAAATGATGAACGAAGCAAAGTGCCGACTACACCGAGCATCATCTTGTTTCCTCTGACCCTAAACAAAGGAGGAGAGTGAGAGAAAGGGAGAGAGAGAGAGGGCTGTGCGGAATTGGGGTTTTTTTTGCGTTTCTGCAAAACGCCTCAACGCACTCCACCCATCCGCTACGATTTCCCTGCCCCTCTCTCTAGCCCTCTCACTGTGGCCTCTTTCCACCACCACCACCCCCGCCACCACCACCACCACCACCGTTTTCTCCCATCGCCGTTCCATTCACTGCCCCCAACCACCCAACCAAACGTATCTCTCTCTCTCTCTGGCTCCGAAATCTCCCTTGAGCTCACAGAGCCCCGTGTCCCCCAGGGCACCAACAGCAGCCACTGTTGGTGCCGTGGGGGTCCGAACACCCCCCCCCCCCACCACAGCGTGTCTAGATGTGACTAAGAGACACCCACAGAGCGTCTACAAGTGGCTAAGAGACACCCACAGAGTGTCTAGATGTGACTAAGGAGACACCCACAGAGTGTCTAGATGTGACTAAGAGACACTCACAGAGTGTCTAGATGTGACTAAGAGACACCCACAGTGTGTCTAGATGTGACTAAGAGACACTCACAGAGTGTCTAGATGTGACTAAGAGACACCCACAGTGTGTCTAGATGTGACTAAGAGACACTCACAGAGTGTCTAGATGTGACTAAGAGACACCCACAGAGTGTCTAGATGTGACTAAGAGACACCCACAGTGTGTCTAGATGTGACTAAGAGACACTCACAGAGTGTCTAGATGTGGCTAAGAGACACCCACAGTGTGTCTAGATGTGACTAAGAGACACCCACAGCGTGTCTAGATGTGACTAAGAGACACCCACAGTGTGTCTAGATGTGACTAAGAGACATCCACAGAGTGTCTAGATGTGACTAAGAGACACCCACAGCGTGTCTAGATGTGACTAAGAGACACCCACAGCGTGTCTAGATGTGACTAAGAGACACCCACAGCGTGTCTAGATGTGACTAAGAGACACTCACAGCGTGTCTAGATGTGACTAAGAGACACCCACAGCGTGTCTAGATGTGACTAAGAGACACCCACAGCGTGTCTAGATGTGACTAAGAGACACCCACAGTGTGTCTAGATGTGACTAAGAGACACCCACATCGTGTCTAGATGTGACTAAGAGACACCCACAGTGTGTCTAGATGTGACTAAGAGACACCCACAGTGTGTCTAGATGTGACTAAGAGACACCCACATCGTGTCTAGATGTGACTAAGAGACACCCACAGCGTGTCTAGATGTGACTAAGAGCCTCCCACAAAGTGTCTAGATGTGACTAAGAGACACCCACAGCGTGTCTAGATGTGACTAAGAGACACTCACAGCGTGTCTAGATGTGACTAAGAGACACCCACAGCGTGTCTAGATGTGACTAAGAGACACCCACAGAGTGTCTAGATGTGACTAAGAGACACCCACAGTGTGTCTAGATGTGACTAACAGACACTCACAGCGTGTCTAGATGTGACTAAGAGAACCCACAGAGTGTCTAGATGTGACTAAGAGACACCCACAGCGTTTCTAGATGTGACTAAGAGACACCCACAGCGTGTCTAGATGTGACTAAGAGACACCACAGCGTGTCTAGATGTGGCTAAGAGACACCCACAGTGTGTCTAGATGTGACTAAGAGACACCCACAGCGTGTCTAGATGTGGCTAAGAGACACTCACGGTGTGTCTAGATGTGACTAAGAGACACCCACAGCGTGTCTAGATGTGGCTAAGAGACACTCACGGTGTGTCTAGATGTGACTAAGAGACACCCACAGCGTGTCTAGATGTGACTAAGAGACACTCACAGCGTGTCTAGATGTGACTAAGAGACACCCACAGCGTGTCTAGATGTGACTAAGAGACACCCACAGAGTGTCTAGATGTGACTAAGAGACACCCACAGTGTGTCTAGATGTGACTAACAGACACTCACAGCGTGTCTAGATGTGACTAAGAGAACCCACAGAGTGTCTAGATGTGACTAAGAGACACCCACAGCGTTTCTAGATGTGACTAAGAGACACCCACAGCGTGTCTAGATGTGACTAAGAGACACCACAGCGTGTCTAGATGTGGCTAAGAGACACCCACAGTGTGTCTAGATGTGACTAAGAGACACCCACAGCGTGTCTAGATGTGACTAAGAGACACCCACAACGTGTATAGATGTGACTAAGAGACACCCACAGCGTGTCTAGATGTGACTAAGAGACACCCACAACGTGTATAGATGTGACTAAGAGACACCCACAGCGTGTCTAGATGTGACTAAGAGACACCCACAGAGTGTCTAGATGTGACTAAGAGACACCCACAGCGTGTCTAGATGTGGCGAAGACACTGAGTCGGTGACGTCACCACGGCGCTTGTGCCAGGCTAGGTGCACTTTGAGGCCACGTGAAGTGTCGAAGGCCCGCTGGCAGGTCAGGGAACAGACCCAGGTGCCATGCGTCGACTGTGCCAACTCGGTGCGTTTTATCCTCCCGGCGCTCCGCTCGTTGTTGTGAGCGTCGCTCCTCCGGAGGCCCTTCGCTCTATGCTGGAGGTGCGACTGCCTCGAAGCGCCCAGCAGCAGCGTCCTTCACGAGCCTCCTCCTCCACGGAGGCCGATCTTGACGACCGCTGGTACCGGTCGTGGGGGCAAGCCCACTCAGCTCCACATCCCACTCTCCTAACCAGCATCACATCCATCTCCTCTCCAGCCCGTGCTGCGCCCGTTTCGCTCCTCCCCCATCCCCCCGTCTATCCGGCCAAATTGAAGCTGGTTGGACGTGCGGTGGCTGATGCATGCGGCTACGTGACACCCCAAAGATCCCCCGTGTAGCCTGTAACAGACTGCAGAGGCAAAGTGCTGTTAGCGAGCAGCACCTATGAAGGCCGGAAACGGTACACGAGGGGGTGGGTGGCCAGCACCACGCCCGACCGCCTTTGTCTCCCAAGTGGCGATGTTCACACACCGCACCGGGTACTCATTTGAGGCCGAGTCCCGGGAGGCCCGGGACCGGTTCAGATAATCGTCACCGCTGTTGGCCGTGAGTGGGAATCGAACTCAGGTCGCCGGGTTCGTAGCGCAGTGTAGCAATAGCCACTACACTATCGTTACGTGACCCCACACACACTCGGACAACAACAACAACAACCGCCATTCGCCACGACGACTCTTGTGCCAGGCTAGGTGCACGTTGGGGCCACGTGAAGTGTCGAACGCCCGCTGGCAAAGAAGTCACGGGGCAGACCCAGCAGGTGCCACGGGTCGACTGACTGAGATGACCGGCCGATGCACCACCTGTACTCCCTATTGTGCCAGGCTAGGTGCACCAGGAGGTCACGGGGCAGACCCAGCAGGTGCCACGAGTCGACTGACTGAGATGACAAACACACTCAGACACACACACACTCAGACACACACTCAGACACATACAACAACAACCGCCATTCGCCACTAAGTGGCGGTGACGTCACCACGACGCTTGTGCCAGGCCATGTGCACCTTGAGGCCACGTGAAGTGTCGAACGCCCGCGGGCAGGAGGTCACGGGGCAGACCCAGCAGGTGCCACGGGTCGACTGACTGAGATGACTGGCTGATGCACCACCTGTGTCCCCTACTGTGCCAACCTGCTGTGCTTTAGCCACCCGGCGCTCCGCTCATTGTTGTGAGCGTTGCTTCTCCGCCCTCCGTTGTTGTTGGAGAGCGACTGTCTCCAACTGCCCAGTAGCGTCCTTCACGAGCCTCCTCCACAGAGGCCGATCTTGACACCGCTGGTACCAGTCATCGGCAAGTCCACTCAGACACACACACACTCATCTCTACACACAGAGTTCCTCACGGCGAGCACTTCCAAAACCACGTGTCCCGCCGGCTGAAGAGGAAGTCGTGGTCAAACAGAAACCGATTTTTTTAAATTTTCATTTCAAATGAAGCCGACAACACCCCACCCACCCACCCCACCCCCTCGAGAGCCCGAAATAAATCGATAATTGATCCACGTTCAATGCTGCGCCGTCAATCGACCAGCGATCCTTCGCTCGCTCTCGTATTTTTTAAAAAAAAAAATTATGATATAATATAGTATTGTCATCAGTATGACTAAAGTATACCAAGTTTGCAGTCGATACCACATTGCGAAGTGGGTAAAAATTGAGTTACAAGATTCGAGGATACAACAACAGCGACAGACAGAGCGAGTTAAATAAAAGCGTGTAAAATAATAATTTAAAAAAACACAACACTAGTAATGTTTTTCACCTGAAAAAGGCTACTTGTGTTGTGGCCGAAACGTCGTGAGAATTTTATCGTCTTATTTTGCTTTATTGTTTTATTCTCATTCCGCGTGGTGACTTTACCGAAAGAACCAAAGAAGATGAATCCTTGCAGTCACGAAAGCTTCAAATCGAAACTAGCAATGTTACTATTACTCCTTGGTTGTTAAAGTCTTCACCTGAAGACGGTAGCTTGCGTTGCGATCGAAACGTCGCGATCTGTTATGTGTGCTACCCACGTGACTTTAGCGAAAGAACCAAAGATTCGTGCAGTCACGAAAACTTCAAATCAAGATTTAACTTTTTTTATTCTTTGATGGGAAGAAAACAACAACAACAATAATAATAATATCTCGAACCCGTAGGCAATGCCGAATTGAGGTCCAACGAATAAAAATCGATCGATCGATCAATCAACGCACGCCGCGTTCAATGCAGAATGGTCTTGACTGCTGTAACGCGTGGATCAGAGACGCGTCAACGTTGCACCAACGTTGGCCCAACGTTGGTGCAACGTTGGCCTAACGTCGGCCCAACGTTGGGCCAACGGTTGGCACGTTTTCTGGCGTAGCTGTTGAGAGAGAGAGATTAAAAAAAGGCACGCTGTGAATGGAACTCAATAGTCAGACAGATGGAACAACCACGTTGATTAGAGGACACGCGCTAAGCGGATGCACGGCGCTATCGTGCGTGCACGTTGAACTTCTTTCGCGCCGTACGTGGCCAACCAGCCGTGCTGATCGGAGGTGCGGAGTCCCCGAGGTTGGTCGAGACCGGCGAAGGAGTGAGAGTCAAAAGGCAGGAGACGCGCCCGTTCGGAGCTGCTAAAGGGAGCGACGCAACTTGAACTTCACCGTGCGAGACATTCGTGGATTGTCAAGCGTCGCGAGGAACGTTTCGAGGGGAGGCCTTCATCCAGCGGTGGATTGACCATGGGCCCATGGGTGATGATGATGATGATGACAAACATGACGACGTTTTAGGATGTTGTTGTTATTATTGTTGTTGTTGCTGCTGCTGCTTTCTAACAGCAACTATAACAGCATGGGGGGGGGGGGGGGGGCTTATACCACTCCTGTGTACTAGCGTTAACATTTCTAGCACTTCGAGAACATTACTTCAGGATTGTTGTTGTTGTTTTTGTGTGTGTGTGTTTAGCTTGTTGTCCTTTCCCCGCACGGATGGCTACGTACGACACATGACTGGAACGTACATCGATCGGCCAGTTAACCATCATCTGCATGTATTCGATATATATCTCAAAAAGGTCGTGGGTCTCTCCTGGGTCGGCTCGGCCTCAAATGAGTACCCGGCGCGGCGTGTGAACATCTGCGCCGGTGGCAGACAAAGGCGGCCGGGCGTGGGTTTTCACGCTCAGCACTTGCCCCGCCAGTCCGCGATGGGCTACACGGGGAACCTTTGTCTCCGTGCCGGGTCTGGAAATCAACAAAAGCATTCCCATCTGCGTTTCATTGTGCGGAATTCCTCTGCGTCTGGCTTGTACAGCAGGACCACGTGCGTCTCGACATTAGACACCCACCCCTCCACTTCCCTGCCCCCCCCACTGCACTGCCCCACCCTTTCCTGCCCCCCCCCCCCCACTGCCCTGCCCCGCCCCACGCTTCCCTGGAGTGTATAGTAGTGTAGTGTATAGTGTAGTGTATAGTAGTGTAGTGTATAGTAGTGTATAGTGTAGTGTATAGAGGTGTATAGTGTATAGTAGTGTAATGTATATTAGTGTAGTGTATATTAGTGTAGTGTATAGTAGTGTAGTGTATAGTAATGTAGTGTATAGTAGTGTATAGTGTAGTGTATAGTGTGTAGTGTATAGTGTAGTGTATAGTAGTGTAGTGTTAAGTAGTGTAGTGTATAGTGTAGTGTATAGTGTAGTGTCTAGTAGTGTAGTGCTCAACAGTATGGGTTTGCACGGTAATGCTACTGCTGTTGTTCCACCATCGTCGCCATTGTTGTTGTTATCTCTGCACCATCGTCGCCATTGTTGTTGTTGTTATCCCTGCATCATCGTTGCCATGGTCACCATTAATCACAACAGCCCCCCCCCCCGCTGCTTCACCAGAGGGGGGGGGGGGGCATTATCGCCCCGCCCCCTCCCCCCCAAACTCCTCCCTCACGATTGGTCGCCCCCTCCCCCCCAAAATCCTCCCTCGCGATTGGTCGGCTGCACGGAGCTGACGTCACGCGAACCCCGGAAGCGGCCGTGGCGGCAAAGTCACGAGCCTCTCTCTCCGGCTAATTTAATTTGTTTCGTTAACCACAATTAACTTTCTCCGGCGGCGAACGCAGACAAGTAAGCCGCGTCTGGGTTGTGTGTCGGGTTGTTTGTGTTTATCTCTCGGGATGGGGCTTTGTGGGATGCGCGTTGAGATTTATAAGGGGGCACGGGGTGACCGACAAGGTCTGCGTTGGTCTGTAGTAAGGTAGGGGCACTGGTAAGGGGTTGACAGGTAATGTAGTGGTGAGTGTGGTGGTGAGTGTAGTGGTGAGTGTAGTGGTGAGTGTACTAGTGCTGAGTGTAGTGGTGAGTGTAGTGGTGAGTGTACTAGTGGTGAGTGTAGTGGTGAGTGTACTAGTGGTGAGTGTAGTGGTGAGTGTAGTGGTGGTGAGTGTACTGGTGGTGAGTCTAGTGGTGGTGAGTGTAGTGGTGAGTGTAGTGGTGAGTGTACTAGTGGTGAGTGTACTAGTGGTGAGTGTAGTGGTGAGTGTAGTGGTGGTGAGTGTACTGGTGGTGAGTGTAGTGGTGGTGAGTGTACTAGTGGTGAGTGTACTAGTGGTGAGTGTACTAGTGGTGAGTGTACTAGTGGTGAGTGTGCTAGTGGTGAGTGTAGTAATGAGTGTACTAGTGGTGAGTGTAGTGGTGAGTGTGCTAGTGGTGAGTGTAGTAGTGGTGAGTGTGCTAGTGATGAGTGTGCTAGTGGTGAGTGTACTAGTGGTGAGTGTGCTAGTGGTGAGTGTGCTAGTGGTGAGTGTGCTAGTGGTGAGTGTAGTGGTGGGTGTGCTAGTGGTGAGTGTACTAGTGGTGAGGGTAGTGGTGAGTGTACTAGTGGTGAGTGTGCTAGTGGTGAGTGTGCTAGTGGGAGTGTGCTAGTGGTGAGTGTAGTGGTGAGTGTAGTGGTGGTGAGTGTAGTGGTGGTGAGTGTAGTGGTGAGTGTACTAGTGGCGAGTGTAGTGGTGAGTGTACTAGTGGTGAGTGTACTAGTGGTGAGTGTAGTGGTGGGTGTGCTAGTGGTGAGTGTACTAGTGGTGAGTGTAGTGGTGAGTGTAGTGGTGAGTGTGCTAGTGGTGAGTGTAGTAGTGGTGAGTGTAGTGGTGAGTGTAGTGGCGAGTGTGCTAGTGGTGAGTGTAGTGGTGAGTGTATTGGTGAGTGTGCGAGTGGTGAGTGTAGTGGTGGGTGTGCTAGTGGTGAGTGTAGTGGTGAGTGTACTAGTGATGCGTGTGCTAGTGGTGAGTGTAGTAGTGGTGAGTGTACTAGTGGTGAGTGTGCTAGTGGTGAGTGTAGTGGTGAGTCTTCTAGTGGTGAGTGTACTGCTGGTGAGTGTGCTAGTGGTGAGTGTACTAGTGGTGAGTGTACTAGTAGTGAGTGTGCTAGTGGTGAGTGTAGTGGTGAGTCTTCTAGTGGTGAGTGTACTGGTGGTGAGTGTGCTAGTGGTGAGTGTACTAGTGGTGAGTGTAGTAGTGGTGAGTGTACTAGTGGTGAGTGTGCTAGTGGTGAGTGTACTGGTGGTGAGTGTGCTAGTGATGAGTGTACTAGTGGTGAGTGTAGTAGTGATGAGTGTGCTAGTGGTGAGTGTAGTGGTGAGTGTACTAGTGGTGAGTGTAGTGGTGAGTGTAGTGGTGGTGAGTGTACTGGTGGTGAGTCTAGTGGTGGTGAGTGTAGTGGTGAGTGTAGTGGTGAGTGTACTAGTGGTGAGTGTACTAGTGGTGAGTGTAGTGGTGAGTGTAGTGGTGGTGAGTGTACTGGTGGTGAGTGTACTAGTGGTGAGTGTACTAGTGGTGAGTGTACTAGTGGTGAGTGTACTAGTGGTGAGTGTGCTAGTGGTGAGTGTAGTAATGAGTGTACTAGTGGTGAGTGTAGTGGTGAGTGTGCTAGTGGTGAGTGTAGTAGTGGTGAGTGTGCTAGTGATGAGTGTGCTAGTGGTGAGTGTGCTAGTGGTGAGTGTGCTAGTGGTGAGTGTGCTAGTGGTGAGTGTAGTAGTGGGTGTGCTAGTGGTGAGTGTACTAGTGGTGAGGGTAGTGGTGAGTGTACTAGTGGTGAGTGTGCTAGTGGTGAGTGTGCTAGTGGTGAGTGTGCTAGTGGGAGTGTGCTAGTGGTGAGTGTAGTGGTGAGTGTAGTGGTGGTGAGTGTAGTGGTGGTGAGTGTAGTGGTGGTGAGTGTACTAGTGGCGAGTGTAGTGGTGAGTGTAGTGGTGAGTGTACTAGTGGTGAGTGTAGTGGTGGGTGTGCTAGTGGTGAGTGTACTAGTGGTGAGTGTAGTGGTGAGTGTAGTGGTGAGTGTGCTAGTGGTGAGTGTAGTAGTGGTGAGTGTAGTGGTGAGTGTAGTGGCGAGTGTGCTAGTGGTGAGTGTAGTGGTGAGTGTATTGGTGAGTGTGCGAGTGGTGAGTGTAGTGGTGGGTGTGCTAGTGGTGAGTGTAGTGGTGAGTGTACTAGTGATGCGTGTGCTAGTGGTGAGTGTAGTAGTGGTGAGTGTACTAGTGGTGAGTGTGCTAGTGGTGAGTGTAGTGGTGAGTCTTCTAGTGGTGAGTGTACTGCTGGTGAGTGTGCTAGTGGTGAGTGTACTAGTGGTGAGTGTACTAGTAGTGAGTGTGCTAGTGGTGAGTGTAGTGGTGAGTCTTCTAGTGGTGAGTGTACTGGTGGTGAGTGTGCTAGTGGTGAGTGTACTAGTGGTGAGTGTAGTAGTGGTGAGTGTACTAGTGGTGAGTGTGCTAGTGGTGAGTGTACTGGTGGTGAGTGTGCTAGTGATGAGTGTACTAGTGGTGAGTGTAGTAGTGATGAGTGTGCTAGTGGTGAGTGTAGTGGTGAGTGTAGTGGTGGTGAGTGTAGTGGTGAGTGTACTAGTGGCGAGTGTAGTGGTGAGTGTACTAGTGGTGAGTGTACTAGTGGTGAGTGTAGTGGTGGGTGTGCTAGTGGTGAGTGTACTAGTGGTGAGTGTAGTGGTGAGTGTAGTGGTGAGTGTGCTAGTGGTGAGTGTAGTAGTGGTGAGTGTAGTGGTGAGTGTAGTGGCGAGTGTGCTAGTGGTGAGTGTAGTGGTGAGTGTATTGGTGAGTGTGCGAGTGGTGAGTGTAGTGGTGGGTGTGCTAGTGGTGAGTGTAGTGGTGAGTGTACTAGTGATGCGTGTGCTAGTGGTGAGTGTAGTAGTGGTGAGTGTACTAGTGGTGAGTGTGCTAGTGGTGAGTGTAGTGGTGAGTCTTCTAGTGGTGAGTGTACTGCTGGTGAGTGTGCTAGTGGTGAGTGTACTAGTGGTGAGTGTACTAGTAGTGAGTGTGCTAGTGGTGAGTGTAGTGGTGAGTCTTCTAGTGGTGAGTGTACTGGTGGTGAGTGTGCTAGTGGTGAGTGTACTAGTGGTGAGTGTAGTAGTGGTGAGTGTACTAGTGGTGAGTGTGCTAGTGGTGAGTGTACTGGTGGTGAGTGTGCTAGTGATGAGTGTACTAGTGGTGAGTGTAGTAGTGATGAGTGTGCTAGTGGTGAGTGTGCTAGGGGTGAGTGTGCTAGGGGTGAGTGTACTAGTGGTGAGTGTACTAGTGGTGAGTGTACTAGTGGTGAGTAGTAGTGGTGAGTGTACTAGTGGTGAGTGTAGTAGTGATGAGTGTGCTAGTGGTGAGTGTGCTAGGGGTGAGTGTGCTAGGGGTGAGTGTACTAGTGGTGAGTGTACTAGTGGTGAGTGTACTAGTGGTGAGTAGTAGTGGTGAGTGTACTAGTGGTGAGTGTAGTGGTGAGTGTACTAGTGGTGAGTGTGCTAGTGGTGAGTGTAGTGGTGAGTGTACTAGTGGTGAGTGTGCTAGTGGTGAGTGTACTAGTGGTGAGTGTAGTGGTGAGTCTTCTAGTGGTGAGTGTACTGGTGGTGAGTGTGCTAGTGGTGAGTGTACTAGTGGTGAGTGTACTAGTAGTGAGTGTGCTAGTGGTGAGTGTAGTGGTGAGTCTTCTAGTGGTGAGTGTACTAGTGGTGAGTGTACTAGTGGTGAGTGTAGTGGTGAGTGTACTAGTGGTGAGTGTACTAGTGGTGAGTGTAGTGGTGAGTGTAGTGGTGAGTGTAGTAGTGGTGAGTGTAGTGGCGAGTGTGCTAGTGGTGAGTGTAGTGGTGGGTGTGCTAGTGGTGAGTGTAGTGGTGAGTGTACTAGTGATGCGTGTGCTAGTGGTGAGTGTAGTAGTGGTGAGTGTACTAGTGGTGAGTGTGCTAGTGGTGAGTCTTCTAGTGGTGAGTGTACTGGTGGTGAGTGTGCTAGTGGTGAGTGTACTAGTGGTGAGTGTACTAGTAGTGAGTTTGCTAGTGGTGAGTGTAGTGGTGAGTCTTCTAGTGGTGAGTGTACTGGTGGTGAGTGTGCTAGTGGTGAGTGTACTAGTGGTGAGTGTAGTAGTGGTGAGTGTACTAGTGGTGAGTGTGCTAGTGGTGAGTGTACTGGTGGTGAGTGTGCTAGTGATGAGTGTACTAGTGGTGAGTGTAGTAGTGATGAGTGTGCTAGTGGTGAGTGTGCTAGGGGTGAGTGTGCTAGGGGTGAGTGTACTAGTGGTGAGTGTACTAGTGGTGAGTGTACTAGTGGTGAGTGTACTAGTGGTGAGTGTAGTGGTGAGTGTACTAGTGGTGAGTGTGCTAGTGGTGAGTGTAGTGGTGAGTGTACTAGTGGTGAGTGTGCTAGTGGTGAGTGTACTAATGGTGAGTGTACTAGTGAGTGTGCTAGTCGTGAGTGTACTGGTGGTGAGTGTACTGGTGGTGAGTGTACTAGTAGTGAGTGTGCTAGTGGTGAGTGTAGTGGTGAGTCTTCTAGTGGTGAGTGTACTGGTGGTGAGTGTGCTAGTGGTGAGTGTACTAGTGGTGAGTGTAGTAGTGGTGAGTGTACTAGTGGTGAGTGTGCTAGTGATGAGTGTACTAGTGGTGAGTGTAGTAGTGATTAGTGTGCTAGTGGTGAGTGTGCTAGGGGTGAGTGTGCTAGGGGTGAGTGTACTAGTGGTGAGTGTACTAGTGGTGAGTGTACTAGTGGTGAGTAGTAGTGGTGAGTGTACTAGTGGTGAGTGTAGTAGTGATGAGTGTGCTAGTGGTGAGTGTGCTAGGGGTGAGTGTGCTAGGGGTGAGTGTAC